CCTTTTGCCAACTTTAGTCGCTCTGGATACTTTCTGTACTTTGAATTATGCTGCTTAGTCATGTGGTTGTTTTTGGTGCTCTCTCTGTTCTTCATGCATGGATCCACATTTTTGTCCAACCTGTCCACTCCCCACTGTGGGCCCACCTGTGTAACCTACAAAGAAGATGCAACATTACAGCAGTTTTATTTTCTCATTGCGTCGTCTTGGGTGTGTTATTTATACTTTTGCAATGGATCTTATTCTACAGCGAGAAGAAAATGTCTCAAAATAAAAAGTACATTTCCTTCTGCAAAATGTTCTTTCCACTTCAGATTCATCCCATTTTGTAACCACAAACTTTTTCTGTGTTTTATTGGGATTTATTGGGACAAAACAGAAGCTATCTGATTTTAAACTTTCCTCTGTCTGTTGCCTTTACCTGCAGAGTAAACGCGGTGTCCATCTCCAGAGGAGGATTACACTCTGAAAAAGTGCTACGATTAAAAACAGGATAAAAATGCAGCATTTTTAATTCTCAGTGAATATTTTGTAGAAGGCAAGTCAAGGCAACTATATTTATATAGGGCCTTTCAGTCAGAGACAATTTAAAGTACAAAGAAGTTAAAAACAACATACAAGAAAAACAGCAAAGTAGATGCAAAGATGGTACTTTGCTCCGATATTAAAAGTTTAATTTAAGTGTTCATACGGTAATGAGTAGTTTCTCTAGATAAACTGATAGGAGTTTCTTTCTAAGTTGGCTCTAATTCCTGCTGTGGGTTGAGTGAAGTTTATAAACTAAATGTTCTGTGTTGCTGGATACGAATAAGTTCTCCACAATTTATAAACTAGAAGGAGTTTAAACTGATACATCTCTAAATACTGGTCTAAAGTAATGAGTTCTCCACAATTTCTAAAAGTAATAAGTTAAACAGACAGACAGGGCAAAGAAGAGACACATCTGGAAAAATCGGCACATTAAGACAGCAGATCCAGTGACGTCCTGGTGATGAGCAGAGCTGCGCCCCGCGCTGACTAACTGCATCTTAACACCTAGAATAAAATCATGCCTGAAACGAAATGTTTCTTTTTGCCAACGCAAATCAAGTCTATTTTTTTTTATCATGCTTCTAAATTATAAATATCTCTAAAATGTTAGTGCACACAACACTTGTGGTAAAGAACTTGTTTGATTTCCATGTTTCCATACTTATAGACTCTGTAAATGACTCAAAATGCCCCTGGTTTTATCATAACCCGCCACCTTTCACATTAGGAACAAGGCAATGAGTTAAGAGACTTCAGGTCGTTTACAAGTGGGCCATAAGTTTCCATGCACAGAAAATTAAACATTTTATATTGGACAGCTGTTTTTATTTTTGTGGGACTCTGTGCAATCGCTGCACGTCTTGGACCACTTCCTGGTTGATCTGCAACATTTCCAGTTTTCTGAAACTTGCCAATAAGTTTTTCCACAGTGTCGTGTGTATGATGCTCGCTCCATGTTTTCTGTTGAAGTTTGGTGCAACCGTGCAACTGCTTCCCCATCCAGCCGTTGGCATCATTTCAGGTCTTTGCTCTTTTGTCAAACGCATCTTCTTGGGTATCTGAAATATAAAAGACATACACCTTCTACATTCTCCTACGTATGGAAACTTATGGCCCTCCCTGTATATTAAGATCCTCGGTCCTCGGCCTGAAAGAGTTCGAGAAACACTGCTGTAATGTGGAAGGATGTAAAAAAGTTTAACATTTTCTGCTCATCTGAGCGCCGCTGCCTTCGCAACAGCCATAAGAAATACCAACAATGGAAGCAGGAGGATTAAGACAAAGATCTCCTCATTGGCCTGATTTGTTCGACTGAGACTCTCCTGTGTTGAGCCGGTAGAGGAGCCCGCTGAGCCGCTCCCACCGGTGCTATCCCGCTTCCCTGGGACAGCGGGCCGGTGGGGGGAGGAGAGGGTGGGAGCAGGTAGGGGGCTGACTGAGAGCCTCTGCGTGTCTATGTGTGTGTTTTCACGATACAGAGGAGAAGAGCACTGCAGCAATCGGAGAAAGTAGGTCAGACACCGACTAGTGAGAAAGATCGAAGAGGAGAGGTAGGGAGGAAAGATGGAGTGGAAATGGGAGGAAGGAAGGAGAGAAGCGGAAAACTGCTGGAGAACGAGGATGGATGTCGAAACAAAATATTATGGGACAAATGTAATGTGTCATTGGAGCTGCATGATTTGGCGCCCTGGCTTTACTTCATGGAACTTTGTACAGCATAATCTAACAGAACCAGATAAGAAAATAAACATTTCATTTATCCTGATGCTCCAGAAAGGCCACATGTTTTAGACACTCACTGACATTAAACCAGACTAAACTGTTCCTGCTTATTTCTGACTGCAAAATGCAAGAGATGAAAGATTACTTCCCTCAAACTCTGAGATTTAATTACATTTCCTTAATATTTAGTAGAACCGACTTTTGAACTTTATGACTTTTGAACTTTATGGCTTTAGTCAAGCATAACTAAGTCAGTTTGTGTGTTTTTTCCACACACACTATTTCATGACACACGTTAAGCCAGGAGATCCTCACAGTTAGTGTTACCTTTGAATCGCCACTTGCTTTGTGAAGTGCACCAGTCCCTCCTGCAGCAAACATGAAGCTGCCACTCCTGCAGTCAGAGTTGTGTTGTTGTGACCAAACACTCCAGTTTCAGTTTCATCAGAGCCTCAGAAAATGAGTTTATGTACAAACTGCAGTCTGGTTTTTCATGTTTCACCTGAAGCAATGACTTCTTACTCTACATCTGCATTTCCATTATTGGCATGTTTAATGGAAACATGCCAATTCTGAAAAAGTATAATTTTTTTGTTTTAAAGTTTGGCGCGTGGATGAAATGAATGTTTTGGTCGTATTCAAATTAGAATATTTCACAGAACTGCAATGGAAAGACATTTTTTGCATCCAACAAGTCGTGTGATTCCAGTGACGATTTAACTGCATTTCTTGTTTCATGGAAACAAACCAGTTGCATAATTGTGGAAAATCAACAAAGCTTTGGAAACACAGAGTTTCATTTGTGTTTTAGCTGATGCTAGTTTACTGTAGATGACGCCTTTCTGTCTTCAGCCTCAGCAAGCGACTTCTGCTGCTGATACACATTCATACAAAACAGTAACATTAATGCAACCAGCCTTTTAATTTAGACATTTGAATAAACGAATAAAAAGTCTCTAAAGAATTGTTTTCTTCATTATTCTGGCATTTAACAAATATAAATATTTTTAAATATTTATATTTAACAAATAAGTATTTTTTTAAATATATTTAACAAATATTTCTATTTTTAAAAATATGCATATTTCTAAATATCTCTATTTTAAAAAGATTTCTATTTTATAGTATTTATATTGAAAAACATTAAGATTTTAAAATATCTATATTTAAAGGAATATACTTTTTATATTTATGTTTAAACAATATAAATATTTTAAAATACTTACATTCAAAAACATATAAATATAATTTTAAAAAATATATTTACACTTAAATATAAATTTAAATATTTGGGGATCATAACCAACTTAAAAGTTTAGTTTTATTTAAGGTCAGAAGGTTATGCGCCATTGTATCCAGTTTATAGAAATATCTGGTTTTAACTGTGTTTCTCAGCTAATCTCCTCAGTAAAAGCTGAGGCTTAGTATTTTAAATCTTCTGCTTTGTCTGTCTGTGTCATAAAGGCACAAGGGGAAATATGTGTAGGCCTTCATCCAATTTCCAATTCAAAGAAACTCGAGAAAACAAACTGAGTCCTTTGAGGGAAAAATAAGTGAAAGTGGCTCCATTTGTTCGATATAAGGTCTCGTCTTGTAAGTATTTTCCTCTTCATATTACATAAGTGCATAATGTTGAAAATACATGCAACACACGCAAAACACACTTAGGCTTCCCATATATATATCTGGGCTCCACTCAAGTATGAATTACCTCTCTGTTCTGCTCCTCAGGCCAAGCTGGTATTATTTTATTATTTATCTGAAAAAGCTCAAAGTATACAGCGTCTATAAATACTCGGGGCTGGAGGGAATCAACCGCAGTCCGGAAAAAGCCTGAACACGTAAAAAAAATCGGAAGGTCACAGTTGGGAGAACAATCGTTTTTTTGAGTCGGGATTTTATTTTTTAATTTTTTATCTTGAATGTAATATTTTCCAAAATGAGATTCAAAAAATGATGATTAGACCTGGACTGGTGTGACATTCTCTTTCTTAATGACACTGAGTAAAAAAATAAAAACAGCTTCACAGTAACTATTCAAACATGATAAAATGACTTCTTTAAAAATAAAAGAAAAATGTAAAAGACGGCTAAATGTCACAAGTTTATTTATTATTTGGATTTTTAATGAAAGATCTAAGCAATAATATTAAAACCAGAGGTTTCATTATTCCAGGTCAGTTTAGTCGCATTTGTAAATGTTGGAATGTTGTGTTTCAGTTCTGGCTCTTCATTTTGTTATTTTTGTATCAAACTAAATAAATACGGATATGTACAACAAATTAAAGCAACTAAAGATGCTCAGTGTGTGACAGGAGCTTTACAAACGAACCTGTTTATAAAACGTATCAAAAAATTATGACTGGGTACAATAAAATTCAAGTAAAAACATAAAATTATAATAAATTTATGACATTACGTGAATAAAGTTAGTAATGCATGAATAAACTCGCACAACAATTAATAAAATTACAAGAATGAAGTCAAAATAATGAGAATAAAGTCATAATAATATGACTGTTAAAGTTCATTGTAATTTTTTTACTTTAATACTTTGTTGTAAAAAAAAGTTTAATAAGACAAAACATTTGTAGGAACATTTTCTGTAAGGAAAAACATTTTTGGAATCATGTTGTGTCTGAATTGCTGTTTTTACTCATGTTTTCCTCAGTCTAACTGTCCGACTCTCTCCTTCTTCCCCTTGTCGTCTTTCCCTCCGTGTTTCCCAAAACCTCCCGTCCTTCCAGTATGTGGCATTCATTTCCCTCTTCTTCATCCTCATCTCCATTTCCACTTTCTGCATGGAGACGCACGAGGCCTTCAACACCATCCTAAACAGGACAGAGAACGTCACAGACGGCAACACGACCCACGAGGAGATAGTGTACGAAGTGGTGACCGACAGCTGGTTGACGTACGTCGAAGGCGTCTGCGTCATTTGGTTTACAATTGAGGTCTTGCTGCGGGTCATCTTCTGTCCAGACAAGTTGGAATTCTTCAAAAGTGCCCTCAACATCATCGACTTTGTCGCCATCCTGCCCTTCTACCTGGAGGTGGGCTTGAGCGGTCTGTCCTCCAAAGCTGCCAAGGATGTCCTGGGGTTCCTCCGTGTTGTCCGATTCGTCCGAATCCTCCGAATCTTCAAGCTCACTCGCCACTTTGTGGGTCTGCGCGTCCTCGGCCACACCCTTCGCGCCAGCACCAATGAATTCCTCCTGCTCATCATCTTCCTGGCCCTCGGCGTCCTCATCTTCGCCACCATGATCTACTACGCCGAGCGAATTGGGGCAGACCCCGACGACCCGACCGCCAGCGCCCACACCAACTTCAAGAACATCCCCATTGGGTTTTGGTGGGCCGTGGTGACGATGACCACTCTGGGTTACGGTGATATGTACCCGGAGACGTGGTCGGGAATGCTGGTGGGAGCGCTCTGTGCCTTGGCTGGTGTGCTGACCATTGCTATGCCTGTACCTGTCATTGTCAACAACTTCGGCATGTACTACTCTCTGGCTATGGCCAAGCAAAAGCTGCCCAAAAAGAAGAACAAACATATCCCTCGAGCGCCTCAGCCGGGCTCACCCAACTACTGCAAGCCAGACGCCCTGGCAATGGCCACCGCATCACCGCAAAGGATCTTGGGAAATGTCTTAGGTGGAGTGATGGGGTCTGGAGGAATAGGGGGTGACTGTCCTCTTGCTCAGGAGGAAATCATAGAGATCAACAGAGGTAAGAAGTTCTCATCATTTTTGATCACAGATGCAGTCTGTGTAAAATATTAATTTCCCCCTTACAGACAGATTCAGTTGTTTTATCACATTAACCCTTCTAGACCGAACGTATCACGATGTGCAGAACCGTAACTAACACTACGCGCCAAAACTTCCAGCGGTTTCTGAAAGGGGAGACGTTGCATTTTCCAGCCAATATCGGGTTATTATGGTAGTTTGACTCCCAGGAAGTGAAATTAATCTGAGGGGCGAAAATAACAGCTAGATACTGAAAGTTCCAGTTTTTATGAATAAATGGGTAAATATATTTACTCACAGGTAGACCTGTCACAATAAATCAATTAATCGCATGATAAATTAAAAGAAACTCAAAGATTTTCATTTGCTTGATTTATTGTTTTACCAAAAACTGAACGATAAAAGTCTTCAGTCTGGTGCTTTGATCCCGACTTTCCCTTTTTTTGAAAGATAATTTTGTTTACAAAGACTTCATAATTCATTTTATTTGTTGTTTCTGTTGTTTTGGATATTTTAAATGTCTTCCAGTTTCAGTGTTAAATGTTCATTATAATCTAAAGTTTATTGATTTTTGAGAATGTGTTCCTGCCATTATAACTCAAAAATGGTCTCAAAACAACAACATTATAGTTTATCGCAATAAATTCTGGAACAATTTATCGTCCTGCAAAGTTTGTTACCGTGACGAGACATTTAAAGAACTGTGTAAAATTAAAAAAAGCAAAAATATCCAGGCGGAGATTTGAAACTCTGAGGTTAATAAATCTTTCCTGCAGTTGGAAACAAAAACAGTCTTTGCTGTTTCAGATGTGCAGCATGACTTCAGAGATCTTGTGTACTCTTGATTTCAAAGTGCCAGAGTCTCCAGAGAACGGAGTGGGAGTGATATCAAGCGGTGATGCGTGGTTGATTCTCGCACCACCCTGGAGAAATCACTGGCCCATCAGAACTGTTGTGTAATTTATGATCGGCTTTCGGATCGCAGTGGCCTTAAGGCTCTTCCATCTGCCAGTGATGAACATTCACTATGGGAAGACAATGAACTCAATTATCTATTAAAACAGACTAATGCGTCTCGATTTTGGCTGACTTCACAGGATTTTTTTTTTCTGCCATTAGCAGTAAAACTGCTTTAGCATCTAGCTACCATAATGCACCTTTAACGCATCACTTAGCAGTCAGGAGTGAGCGCGTCTCGCCAGCATCGCCTGGAGTCAAGACTGGAAGCAGAACCAGTCGATTTTATTGTTGCTCCAAGGAGGAAGTCAGAAACTTTTACCGGGGTTCAGCACTTCCTCTAATCGGTGTTTTGTCTTTCAAAATGTGACAGTAATGCAGCGTCAACTGGGCTTAAAAATGATGGAGAGGAGCCGCGTCCCTACGTCTGTTACCTACAGCCGTTTATCCTGCTGTTTGTTTGGGTCAACTAAGACCAAACAGCCGGACTCACACTCACTTAGTCCTATGTGCTAAGAAACGGTCAGTTAACGGTCCTGGTTTAAATACGTAAAAACCCAGAGAGAACCGATGCATGCAGGGAGAACGTGCAAACTCCAGATGTTTCTGTCCCAGAAATGTATCATTTATTGCGATAAATGATAATATTTTACGTGATATCATGGTAATAATGCAGGAACCGATTCTGAAGAGGTCAGCTTGGCTCCTGGTCTCTGGCTCCTTCAGCCCTGTGCTGCCTTTTCATTTTGTCAAATTATTGTCACAGCAACCAGATTTCACCTACTGAATGCTTTTAATCGTACCAGCCCAGTTCCACGTGTGTTTAAGCTTTAATTGTGTTTGGGAAAGTTAAATAAAATTATCCTGAATCGCTTAAAGTAGCTGCTGGTTGTTAACATTTAATTACGTTGTAGAGACATACAAGACATCTACATATCTTGAATAAAAAGACTTTTTTTTTCTCAATGACAATAAATCAGATTTCACTTTTACTGTATCCCTAAATTGTTTGTATTTGCTTAAAACCAGAAAAATGAGATATAAGTTTTTAGAGAGTTGTTTTCTTCCTTTTTTAAAATAAGAACCCTACATGATAGCCGTTTATGTTACATGGCTCTACTGGCAGATTACGTCAACCTTTTCATGAATATAAAATAATTATTTACTTTGAACCAGGTCCTTTATCTTGGCGAAAAGTTCCTTGTAAGTGAGTTTTGTCTTATTTCAAGTTTGCTAAGATGTTTGCTTTAGAAACTGGACAAAAATTCTTGGTAAAATTATATTTTTGCCATTTAAATTCTGAGGTATTTTATTCATGTTTTCTTTGATTTATTGTAAGAAATTAACTTAATTTTTTGTTTACATACTTTATTTCTTATGCATGGTGATGTTGAATGAAAACAAATAAAACTGGACCTGGGTTCAGCAGGCCTCCCTCCCCGCGCGTTTCCGTGACGACCTCGCTGTCGTCCGGACACACAGAAGTCCGTTTGCAGCAGTAAACCTCCGCGGTTGTGAATTTTTCTTCCAGATTCCAAGCAGAACGGCGACGCAGCCTCGGCCGCCCTGGCTAACGAGGACTGCCCCACCATCGACCAGGTGCTGAGCCCGGACGAGCGGAGCCCCATCGGGCGGGGCCCCACTCGGGAACGCTACCAGCAGGACCGAGCCTGCTTCCTACTCAACACCAGGGAATTCCGCGCCACAGATGGGAATGTGCGGAAAGGTACGTGTCGCACCAGGAGACGGATATGCGAAGTGCACTCCTCGTGTAAACACGAGCACAGAGCAAGGCGGCAGGCGCAGTAAACACGTCCCCACAGAGAAACCACGTAGAGAGCGCTGTGTGTCCAGAAGACGTAGATGAATTATTACACGTGGATGCAGATTCCAGTTCATATGGCTGCAGAAACATTAGCCCTTCTGCTCTGCTGTCTTTGTTTCCACCTCTTCATATTCACGTTGTTTTTATTTCCATCACCGCTTCGCGTCATATTTGATTTATTCCGTCTCATAATGTTGTTTTCTAACATCTTTCCTTTCATTTTGAAGACATTTTTGAACATAGCTCCAGTCATGTCCTCCATCTTTCTATGGCGTCTCCAGATCTTTCCGTCCCAGAACGTGTCACGTCCTCTCAGACTCAAAAGTGATCTGTCTTTCTCTGTCTTCTGGACTCAGACAGTTGACCATGCATTAATTTACTTCTCGTCACTTCTGTTTCTCCCTGTCTGTTTCTCTCTCCCTCTGACGTCGCCCTTTTTTCTTTTCTGACTGGCACCTCCCCCGTTTTTACCCCATTTTCATCCTTTTCCCTCCCAAACCTCCCATTAATTCCTCCCCTCTGCTTCCTCCCTTTTCCTTTTCCGCCTCACCATCCCTCCTCTTGTTTTTCCCCCCACCGCCATTCATTTAATACTGCAATCTGACCACTGCCACCGTCACCAACCTGCACCAACAAAACACTCCCTCCAAACTTTCCCCTCCCTCCCTTCTTGTTGGCAACAAACCACTGTAGAGGCAGCAGCCCTGGCTCCCAGCCCAGACTCCCCTCTGACTGAGGATTGGTATAAGATGGAGGGGTCTCTGTTACAGCAGGACCTCAATGCAAACTCCACCTCCTCCTGGATCAAACCGTAGCTCAGAGGTAACACTGAAACCAGTTAAAAAGTCACAAATAACCCAGTTCTGGCTCCCCAGGAAAGTAGCGCCCCCCCTTTTAACACAAATCATCAAAAATCACAGATACACAAATATTTCCACCCTGTTGTGTCAAAGATGCTGCAGCTGACTTGTCACTCCTCTGTGGCTGAAAGAGTTTGTCCTTAAGGTTGATGCAGAACAGCTGAGCATAACCTTAGCCCGACGTCCCGGTTGCCAAAACCTCCTGTTTGGTTCCGTGACGTCGTCTGCAACCATTTCGATACACAATGTCCAGGGTGTAAAAGAAAATGGGGTTGCAGCACAAATGATCCCAGATGTTTTGTACCTGTGTGTTTGTTTTGGTGTGAGTGTCTCTTTAACCTGCATCCTGTCATGAGTGCAGGATCGCTAAGCACATCCAGCTACTCAAGTGAATATAACCCAGTTGTTGTGTCCTGTGTTATTAACTAATCTGTAAGAAGAAAGAAAGATGAAGCGGGACGGCGGGTCACCTTGTTGTCTGATGTGCCTCTGTGTTGTTGTTGTCTCTCTCTTCAGGTTGTGTCATATCACGCGTGTGTATGTGGGCTTTTCATTCTTACGTGTTTATACACTGTGTCTCTGTCCCCCCGAGTGTCGTGTTTGTGTTGTTGTGTGGCTTTACTTCTTTTTTCCCCTTCTAATGTGTTTATTCGTGGTATTCCCAACCCCACAGACCGGCACCTTGGTAAACAACAGCACTTATTACAGCCTAATGCTGCAAACCGCTGCACAGCAGCTACAGTGGTGTGTATTCATATCTCCGTATCAAAAAATGTGTTTTATGCATGTACACAACTGTGCAAAAGTTTGAAATCAGCCTTAATTCATACATAATGGTTCATTTTTTTCACAGCTTGTGCAGCACTCAGGTTTCATATCAAATAGTTGTTGTTTTTTTGCTCTAGTTGCCTTTATTTGATAGCTAATTTGGTAATGAGAGAAAGGGGAAGACATGCAGCAAAGGTCGCCAAGGCCGGGAATCGAACCTGCGGCAGCTGCGTTGTGGACTAAGGCCTCCATATGTGCTGAACCCCTGCGCCACCACAGCAAATAGTTTTTAATATCAGACAGAGAGCTTAAAAGTAAGTAAATTTCAGGTTTTAAAGAAAAAAAGCCATAAACTTAACTGGTATCTGCATGAGGCAGTAGTAGTAACTGTCATCAGCTGCGTTTTCATTACAATCGGTATAAAAATACCAAAAATACGATAAACCAAACAGAAACCTTATTGCTGCAGCAGCAACAGCATCATGCAGATATAGAAGTAAACTGGTACAAAAAGGAACCGGTTCTGTCTGAAATATATCAGTTAAGCTTTATTTCTGTAACTCTTGGTCTGCAGAAAATACTTTACATAAGACCCTTTAACCCTTTAACACATGCACTGAAATGGGTGTCATGACTACAGAGCCCTAGAGGATATGGAGGGTTTTTCTTTTGCGTTCTCGTAATAATAACTTTCTGCTACAATATAAGGTTTTTCCATGCATGTTAATATCTCATTTGTGACATACCTAAAGTTTTATATCTTTCTCTTTAGGATTGAAATGCACCACAAACCTTTGTGCAAAATGCAAAAGTAAAGCAGGTCAAACATGAGATTTGCATCCCTTTAAGATATAAACAGAAACTTAAATAAATTGATTATCAATCAGTTTTTTTTTTTGCACCAAAGAGTTAAAAATATATAAACATGTTTTCACTGAAGCTCTTTAAATGTGTATATATTTGAAATTTGAAATTGACATTTGTGACTGTATACAAAAATAGACCAGAGTCTATCTGCTTATTGTGAGGGAACGCAAAAGAAAAATTGTCCCCCATGTCCCCGATGGGGCTCTGTAGCAGACACACCAAAGGCATGAATAACTCGGTCTGAGGACTCAAGACTTTTGCACAGTAACGTACATGTTTAACATTTTGTTGGACGTTTTTCCCCAACTTAAAAACGTTTATAATTGTGCTGTGAGTCGGTTTCCCAAGGTTCAAGGTCCCTGGGGTCAGTGGAGTCGTCCATGTCAGGGGACGGCATCTCTGGAAACATGGCACGCTGTAAAAGAGCAACGCTGCTGCATTTTTATCATCGTCTCAAAACGGCAGCATCAAAACAGAAAATGTGCGTTCATAAATCAGCTGCAACACGGCAGAGACGTCTCCCAAAGCGTGTGATGGATCTGAAATGCGACTCCCTGGACGGTGTGACTGTGTTTCAGTGCCTGGTGCAGCGCAGACCGTTATGGAAGTTAAAAAAGGCGTCCAGGCTGCACTCGGCAACTGAAACACTTACTGACCAGACAGACAAAAACGCTGCGACAGGTTTGACTAACAAGTGGCTTCATGCTGTCTAAGGTAAGCAAGCCTTCCAACTGTCCGCGCTTCTAGAGGACGCTAACAACGCTGCCATTGTAAATGGTTCTTCTGTGCAAACTGCAATTTAAGTGACACAAAAATCCCCCTTTAAAGCAAATCAGGAGCGCATTGAGGAAAATAATTACTGGACTCATTAGGACGCCACTTCAAGGCAACCTAAAGACAAATTGCACACTTTAATTTGTACCCTTAGGCTGGGGATCTATAACGGTCCTCGTTCCTTAAACTGCTGAAACTTCCTGTGCACTAAGAGAGGAGACGGCGCTTAGTGCTTTACGGTTAAAATCAACGGATTTGATCCGATTCCTGCTTACCTCCAAACCCGGAGAACCTTTTGCAGCTCGTTGTGTACGACCACAGATGTGTTTGATTCTGTTTCCTCTGATGAACCAACACAAAACTGTTGATAAATGTAAAGAGAGGAATCAGAGCTGGACACATTCCTGTCCTTCTCAGTCTCAGTCTGACTGGACGGAGAAAGACTCTGGACATCAACGTCCAAGTTCTTCCTCCGATTGGATCCTACTCCTGAACTTTGACTAGACCATTCTAGCACATTCATACCTAATAGTCAGCTTGACTACTTGACTTACTTTTCCTATTTATTGTTTCTTTTTGGTAACGTTTTATTTGAAGGGGTGTACATAATACTGACCTGACTCTGTGGTAAACATGAAGGAGTCTTCATGAATGTTTGTTGTCATGAAGGGACATTTGGTAAATTATGACACTTTTAATGAAAAGTTGCCATGTTTAAAGGACAAGTTTTAATTGAATTTTAGATTAAAAGTATATTTTTTTGCAGAATAATGCAAAATTTACACATTTAATTGACTTTTGGTGCAACTTTTAGTGCAAATAGTGCAAAGTTGATGCTGTTAATGCAACTTTCAGTGTAAATTTGAATGAGAAGTGCCATTATTTACCAAATGATGGAAACAGTCAAGCATTCATGAAGGCTCCTTCATGACGGCATCATGTCAGTCTTATTCACATCATGTTACCTTCTTTCTGCATATCCACTAATTAACCTGTGAACATGGATTTTATTGAAGTAATGATGACTGAATACTTTCGCATTTTTCACATTTTTATTTCTAAAAGTTAAAAACTTTTATTTTCACTCTTAGAGTTCAGCGCTGCTTTGTGTTGACCGATCAGAGGATTCCTGTTGCTACTTCAAAGTTTGTGGTTGTAACCTAACAAGATGAAAAAGTTACAAAAAAAAAGAGCATGAATGCTTTTTTTAAAGGAACTGTATGTGGATAAGATTCCCGTTTCTAGAAAATCAAATTTCTGAAAAGTATTTGCGTTGAGTTGAAGCGTTTTGTTTTAAAGAGGGATTGTTCTGCTCCTCCTTCCTGTGTGCATCGTTTGTGTTTTATTTGATCTTCCTGAGCGTAAGACGCCTTCCTTCCTCGGCTTCTGTGTGTTTTCTGTTCTGACTGTCGGCCATGTTGACTTCCTGTGCTCATAGCGCTGATGCATGGCTCTCAAAGGGCGACAGCCTCTTTGACTCTCCAGACCTTCATCAGGATCTCAGTCCTGTTGGTTTCAACTCTTCAGTTTCTCTTCTTCCCTCACTTTACAAATATATACAAGTTTTATTTCATTTATTGTTTTTGTGTCTGTTTATCATTTTGTTACTAACTTGGTGTGTACAGTAAAGTATGTTTTGGTGATTTGGTTTCTAACGTGAATGCTCGTTTTTATTGTGGTGACATTCGGTTTATATTTTGCCGTTTTCTGTGATTGTGATTTATTTTTTTGGATATATTTCAGTTTTGTGCAGCAGTGTCTTGTTGTTGTGTTTTTACTTCCCTTGTGTTCTTCCTGGAAGTCGGAAGGAAAATACTTCCAACATGACGGTGAAATCAGTGACTGGAAAACAAATAATCTTAACTAGACACAACTTTAGGAGCTTTTACCCTCAGAAAGTTGATGCTTGTTCAAAAACAAACTGCAAAAAAGTTCATTTTTTACCATTTCTCTTTAAGTTAAACAAAATCTCACGTTTATTCGAAGGTTTTAGTTTCAGATGCTCAACTAGTGGATCTAAATGATGTGTGTTTGTTAGCATGTCAGGCTCAGGACCCTCTGTAGCGTCACGTCGTCCTGCATGCTGTCGTCTCACTGTGTCTCTGATCCGTCTCTTCACACACCTGGCAAATATTTTGTCTGAGCCGCATTTAAGAAACGAGTCACAATCCATCAACACGATTAATATTCATACGATTAAAGCTGAAATGGGACAACGTGGCGTAACTGAGCAGTCAGTATCTTACCTACAGTAACAGATATTTTGCTATACAAAGATTTTCTCTTGTGTTTGTACCTGTTGCTCAGGTAATTATTTCATGAGACGTATCTCAGTAAGCCAACTTCAGACTCTCAGAATATTTCCTAGGGATTCTCATGTTTACTCTGAGGCTGAAAGCTTAAATAATAAAACAGAGCAGCTTTCCTGTTACCTGCTGAAAGTCTCGCTCTCTCAACAAACTTCAGACATTTTTCACACTGTGGGACAAATAGTTTAATCTTAAATTTAAAACACTTCAGTCAGCAGCCATTTTTCTCAGTGTATTTTTAGTTTTTTCTTCCTTTGACCATCATATATGACTGACTGACAGATTTTATTTAAAAAAGGTGGAGGTGAGTGTTGCAGGGCATTAATATACAGATCTGGAAAAATGAAGAGACCATTTAAAATGATCATTTCCTCTGGTTTTTACTTTTTATAGATACAAGTTTGAGTAAAATGAACATTGTTTTTTATTGCATGAACCAAAAATTTTGTATTAATTTACAGACAGTGATAAATGGTCAAAATAATGAAAACGATGCAGAGCTTTCAGTCCTCAAATAAAGCAAAGAAAACAAAATCCTATTAATTTATAAACAACAATATGAATGTTTTAACTCAGGAAGAGTTCAGGATCAGTATTTGGTGGAATAACCAGGAGGTTTTCAGTGCAGAGGGCTTTTTGTTTTTCCACGGCTGTAAATGACATGAAAGATTAGACTTAGCCAAAGTAGCATCATTTTTGTGTAATTTTTGCACCTTAAACACCAGGAAACCTGTAATGTTGATTAAAATATTCAACAATTGCATTATGCAAAAGTAGTAAAGTATAAAAATCTTTTTTGTGAACTCCGGCTCTTAAATTTGAGGTATTTTGAAAGTAATTTGCCTTTAAATGGGCCAGTTTTCATGCCGTACTTCGCTTGACTCTACATGAGGATTTTCCTTACTTCTGTCTACTCCAGGTAAAATCCTGATCGATCAGAAATACTCCACACCCAAATAAAAAAACCGAACTATCCCTTTAAGTAGACTTTAGCTTTATTTATAACTCTACAGGCTGCTGTGACCCAGATACTCCTGACAGGAGGTGGAGGGACGCGGCTGCATGTCGTCTCGTTTCTCCAGCAGGCTGTACTGTATGTACTGTATGCGCCGCTCCGGTGATCATCAGGAGAAAACTCAATACATCTAATTATGGGTAACAGGAGATAACGCCACCTTTAACAGCCAATTGACCGCATGTAGGAATGATACTGTAGATGGGCAACCCAGGGATAGAAACTGAGCAGTCAGCAAATCCTGTGGATTCCTGGCAAACATTGCAGAGCATGTCTGAAGACAGTCAGGCCTGTCATGGCGTCACATTTTACTAGATGATACATTGTTACAGAAATTATTGCGATAAACGATAATATTGTTTTGAGAACATAATGCAAAAACACATTCAAAGAGGTAGTAAACTTTAACCCTTTCATGTATGAATTATGATCCTTTACGTCAGGATGTTTTTCCCCAAAGAGTTTTTGACTTTTTTAAGGAATAAAAAAAGTGGGGAAAATTTATATTTTTAGGATTTTTTTCTAGGTGATCAGTTGTAATTTTCTCTTATTTGGAAAATACATCAGTAGTATTGGTCTTACTTTGTCACAATGTTCTGTCCTTTACAGTAGGAGGGGGGACTGGAGTTGCGTTTTCATATGTCGGCCATATTGGATTTAACAAAAATATTCTTGCACTTGCAGCGGATGGCCAGTAGTTGGCGGTGTGCTGTATGAGGCACTAGGGTCCATTTCAGTGGTCTGTGTGCATTTCTAACATAAGAACAGAAGAAAAAGGCTTAAAGATGGCCGTTCGCTGCAGTGATTTATGGTTTGACATGATTACTGTGACAGGCATGTATATACTTATATGTAGTTTACCTAGGCTACAGTAAAATCAAAAAGTCAATTAATCACATGATAAAATAAATTGAAGGACGATTTTGTTTATAAAAGACTTCAGAATTATTTTTATTTGTTGTTTTATTTATTTTGGATATTTAAAATATCTTCCAATTCCAGTGTTAAATGTTCATTCAAATTTAAAGTTTATTGATCTTTTAGAATGTGCTCTTGCATTATTATTTTCCTTTTATCATTATATTCCTTAAAAACGGTCTCCAAACAATAAGATTATAGTTTACCGTCCAGTGAAATTTGTGATGGTGACAGGCTTCGTTAGGTATTTTGAAGTCATGTTGGTAAACAGGCTGGACACAATATTTGCTCCTCTTCCTCCTCCTCCTCTTCCTCTTCCTCTACATAACCTGCTCCTCCTGTGATTAACACTCATTCTTCATCCCATCCCCAGGCCGCCACTGCAGTGCAAGTGTAACTAAAGTCTGACTCTAGGTAGGTACCTGCTCCCTCCTTAGTGTAAATGAAGTGTGACTTTGGGCAGGAATTATGTCATCATCGCTGAATGCGGTGACGGCCAGGCTCCTCGTTTCCCCTGACGGCCTGCAGCGGCTCACACACCTCCAGCTTTCAGCCTCATTTCATTCTCACACTGCAAAAACGCTAAATATTACCAACTTATTCCTGTCTAGTTCCTAATACACTTGAAATAAGACAAAGTAACTTAAAAGTTTTTTGTTTTTTTCCCCCTAGAAAATAGGGGCTTAAGTAAATAATTCTTTATTATTAATGAAAACGTTCTTGTTCCATTGGCAAATAAATTAACTCATAACAGGGGAAAAACGTTTTGTCATAAGTGAAATAATCTGCCAGTTGAACTAGAACTGGGTTGCTAGGTAACGGCTGGGGTTGCTAGGTAACGGCTGGGCTTGGCTGGGGTTGCTAGGTAATGGCGCCAGTGGAACTAGAAATTTTTCGCCAATATTAAGGAATTATTTACCTAAAATCAGCCTCTATATCGAGCTGCAGAGCTACTTTTAAGTTAGTTTGTCTTATTTCAAATGTACTCAGATATTTTCTCTATAAACTAAACCAAAAATACTTGGTAAGATTTTGTGTTTTGCAGTGCATGGATTAAAAAAAACCCCAAATAAACAACTAAAAATCCTGCAGAATTCAAATCATAGACTCCTGAATGATCTCCATCTCTCTTCTTTCTCGATTCATATTTTTAAGTGAAGCCTGAAGGCTGCCAGTTTCCACCGTCTGTTTTTCTTCTGTTTGGGTCGAAATGTTCACGAAGCTCTGACGTGTTTGGATTTGATCCGGTACCGAGTGACAACACAAACGTCAAACTAAGCACTGAAATCCAAGACGCCTCGGATTATTAGATTTATGTGACGAAATCTTACAGGTGCATCTCAGTAAATTAAAATATAATTGAAAATTTAGGGTCATTTAGAATCCTTCTCATTTTAATGTTTCTTCTCTGCTGAATTTTTGTGTAAATTTGCTGTTCAATACTTTATGCTGCCCATCTGGGTTTTTCTCAATGGGATGGTCCCAGTGGAATAATAAAAAATATACATATTAGAGTGACATATTGCAAGCATGTATTTATGTTCATTAAAGAAAAAACAGCTTACAGCTGATGAAAACCCAAAGTTCTGCATAGAAAACTGCTGACTTGATAAGGAGGAAAAGCCACAAATATTACAGAATAGAAATAAGATTTCTATTCACAGAGTGTTATATTCAAGCACATTGATAAAAAGTTAAGTGGAAGGAAAAAATGTGTCTAAAGAACAACTTCTTTCCAGAAGGTAAAGTCCCAGCATGCAGCAGAAGCTAATGAAGCCAGACTCTGAGGATCTCCTCCATGTCATGCTGCACTGACGCAGTAATCTGAGCAGAAGGATCCCAGACTGAGATCATTTCAACTGGTTAAACTGCTCTTTTGGATTTTCATTGGCTGTGAGCTACAATCTCTCAAACAAACAGAAATCTCAACCTGTGTGCTCTGAATTCATGTAACGGCTCTAATGAGGGAAATCAACATTTCAGTGATATTCTAATTTATTGAGATAAACCTGCAGAGACGTAGAGAGCTGGGTGAGAGGCACAAAGCTCTAAAACCTATAGATGTTGAGTTAACTTCAGTTTTTGACGTCATGAAAAAACCTCGCTAATCTGCAATGGATGGAATAAAAACCAGAAGAAGGAGAACCGAAACCTGGTTCTGTTGCTCAGCAGCAGTTCTGGCAGCGAAGTGAGCGTCTGCTCTCTGTGAAGCTTTCACTGCCGCCGGCCAGCGATGCTCAGATTGCAGCTGCTGCGGTTCGGCTACAAATGGATGAAAACACTCCTGTCCATTTGCTGAGCTCTGCACTTCTGAACATTTTGACCTGGATGACTGCTTCCAGTGAAACAGGAGAAGAAGTGTTGCACAAACAGACGCCGTTTCCTCAGGTGAAACATTTAGCCGAGTGCAGAAAGCCTCACAGGTCAGCTTCACTGGATTGCAGCGACGACTAAAGGCGACGATGTTTTAGTCTTTAAAACAAGGACAAAATAAATGCAGCATCTGAATACACACTCACGGCCACTTTATTAGGTACACCTCGATAGTACCGGGTTGGATTCAGAGCTGCTTTAATCCTTCATGGCAGAGATTCAACGAGGTACTGGAGACATTCCTCAGAATCTGGTCCATGTTGACATGATGGCATCATCCAGTTGCTGTACATCCAGGATGTGAATCTGCCGTTCCTCCACATCCCAAAGGTTCTCCGATTGAGATCTGGTGACTGTGGAGTTCAGTGAACTCATTGTTCAACAAACCAGTCTGAGATGATTTATGACATGGTGCATTATCCTGCTGGAAGTAGCCATCAGAGGATGGTCCACTGTGGTCATAAAGGGATGGACATGGTCAGCAGCAACACTCAGGTCGACATGATGCTCAGTTGGTACTAATGGGTCCAAGTGCCAGGAAAATATCCCCACACCACTGCACCACCAGCAGCCTGAACCGTCGATACCAGACAGGATGGATCCAGGCTTCATGTCGTCGATGCCAAATTCTGACCCATCATCCAACCAGATCAGGCAACGTTTCTCCATCTTCTGTCCGTTTTGCTGAGCCTGTGTGAGTCGCTGCCTCAGTTTCCTGTTGTTAGCTGACAGGAGCGGCGGCGGAGTGGCCGTCTGCTGCTGTAGCCCAGCCGCCTCCAGGCTCAACATGTTGAGTCTTCAGAGATGCTCTGCTGCAGGCCTCGGTTGTAACCAATGGTTATTTCAGTTACTGTTCTATCAGCTCCATCCAGTCTGGCCGTTCACCTCTGACCTCTGCGTTCGCGCCTGCAGATCTGTTGCTCACTGAATGTTTTCTCTTTTCGGACCCTCCTCTGTAAACCCCAGAGATCAGCAGTTTCTGAAATACTCAGACCAGCCCGACCTTTCTGACGCTCGGTTTGACCTGCAGCGGATCGTCTCGCCCAGGTTTACCTGCCTAAAGGCGTCGAGTTGCTGCCATGTGATTGGCTGATTCCACATTCGCGTTAATGAGCAGTTGGACAGGTGTACCTAATAAAGTGGTTAGTGTTTTTACATAAAAGTTTTAGCAGTTTTTCATACTATGAGTGTTTTTCTTCCTGTCCTTTCTCCTCCTCATTCTACTCAGCATGTTGCATGCTCGCTGTTGTTTTTAAAATAATTATCTGGACACAAAACATTCGTTCATCTGTCTGTTCTCATTCAGACTGCTTTCATAAAGTCAGATTAACTTCTGCAAAACAGCCTGAGCCAAGAAAATTCAGTGTCTTTATACTGCATCTGTAGGAATTAACTTATAACTTAATAAATAGTGTATGATAAGAAATAAACTAACAAAAATAGAATCAAAATACAAACACTGAAGGAAACGACGTGTTGTCCAAAGTGGTGGAGCTTAATTCAGGTTCATTTTATTTTTACTCGTTTGCTTCTGAACAGGAAGACACACAGGGCGTCATCTGCTGCGTGCTCCTTGTTGTCCGTCTGGCTATGTGATGGTTGGAGGTTTATTTAATGCCACTGGAAATCATTAAATCTCCTAATTTAGCAGTAAAGCTCCAGCCATTATATGTGTGTGAGCTGTTCATTGGTAGATTTCTACCAATGGTGTTTTTTCACTTCCTCTGATGCAACAACACGCCGTTAGCACGGCCCTTTGTTCTCTGTGGCGCCGCCCTGCAGGGAAAACTCAGCATCTGCATGCTGTGGCTCACACCCACATACAGTGGGAAAGGACACTGAGGACGCTGCATAAGTCTTAAACTCACCAACAAGTCGCTTGCGCAGCTGGATTTAGTTTTCGTGTCATTTCCCACTGTAGCCAAATTACGAAGAGATCTGGTTACAGGGAACGGTCACAGCAGGAAACGCTTTTTTTCTTTTTTTTTTTACGTTGGCCATCTGAAGTTTGCATGAATGAAAAGCAAACGCAACGGGTCCACGGTTAGATTGACAGCGGCGCTCAGTGGGACACGACTAACGAGACACAAAGTCATTTTAAACGTGAAAATGTGATTTTTTCCACCTTTTATGTGACGTTTATTCTGCACAGTTCAAATGAAAACCTGTTAATGAAAATTTTAAAAATGGTGCAGTGACCTGTTAATCTAATTATCCTGATGCAAACCTTATTTTGTTAAAAAGTTACAAAGCATAAAATAACCAACCAAAATGGAGGAGCAGTGTTGCAGGACAGAAATCTTTTTTTTTTTTTTTTTTTTTTGCAGTGAAAGCGTCCAGGTAAAACCTCCACACAGCTGCTGGGATCCAGCGACAAAATGTAACTTTTGTGATAATGCCATTAATGGGTTTTACATTGCTTTTTAAATAAGTTAACATTTTTAGTCAAAAGCAAACATTTTTACAGTCGTTATATTGTTTTATTATCATTTGAACTTTGTCTGACTACCAGAAAACTAAATAGTTTTATAAATCCACCTGCCAGGTGTGAAACTGTAAGTTTAGGACAGAAACACGGTGGTGGCAGCATCATTCCTATAAATATTAATAACTTTCTGATCCGTTCCACAAACCAATCAGCTGTGATGTGAAGGCTTGAAGAATGAAGATGAAGGCCGATTTAAAAAGAAAAAAGAACAGAAAAGATGGCGATGAAGGAAATAAAACTTAAGTTGAAAGAAAACACAAGAAGGTCTCTGGGATCGCCACCAGAGGAACAGATTAGTAGAACTTTTTCAGATTTTTTCAAATCATTTTCCACCTACAAAATTATATTTTACTTCCTAAGAGAATTTTTTAATCTTAATCTGAAACATTACAGGATAAACGTCACATCAGAGGAGGAAAATGTTTAATAAAGCATTTATTATATTTAAAAACGGACTTTTCACACTGTTGAGGTCGACAGATCTGTTCCAGAGAAGCTTCATGTGGTCAACTCCTTCTCTACATGGATGATTTGCTCTTCTATATTTGTGTTC